AAGAAACAACAGTCAAATCGCAAATTCCTCACACATGCAACATCTCCATTGTGGACCGCGGTTTCATCGGTACACTTGGCAACACCGTTGAGTCCCTCCCTCATCCTCCTTCGTCTTTCGCTTGATGTATGCTCCGTGTATTTGATTTGAAACCTGATAGCGCCTCCGTGTTACCCGAAGGAAATTAGATCGGCAAATAGAAAATACAACAACAATGACACAGGACGACCCTGATGATGACGATTCGCAAGACTCGCGAAAATTGCGCAAGGGACGATTCAGAAGTGCGGGTTTGCTTCTGATACGTCACGCAAGGCAGAGAGAGACGTGGACGGAAAGAAAACAATGCTGGTTCATGTTCAAATATTATACGATTCTGAATGACCTGACACTGTTGAGCTATCCTCTACTGGTCAATTGCACTTGCGCAATTTAGGGGGGGGGGTCGAAGTCAGTCTAATGTAATTCAAAACGGAGAGGGGGAAAGAGATGTCTTAAAGATGCCTTCCAAGGGGGTCAAAAATTCGGCCAAAATGCGATGTCTTGCGTAATACATGAGAGGAGACCCTTTCCGGGGACTTAAACGCCAGGCTAGAAAAACAAACTGTCTTAATATGTATTCTGACACGATGTTAGTGCATGGTGGCATTGTTTGACGAATCAAGAACCTTTTATTCCGACGGAACATTCCTCTTATCAGCTCAAAAATTCATAATCCCTTCTTAAGGTTCATTTTTTCTTGCTTTTTGGAAGAATAGACCCGGACGCAAAAATTTTTTGTCGAAATTTTATGCAAAATCAATTTTTCTACCCAAATCGATTAAAAGTAATTTAGTAACCCTGTTTTTCCTCCATTTAAACCCATTGAAAATGTCGTTTTTAGGGGGAGGCAGCTGCCTCGCTAAGAATTCTTTTACGTTGGTTTTGCGTTTGTTTTAGAATTGTTTTACGTCCATTTAATGTTGGAAAAACAGCGTTACAGACTTTCAAAAATCGCCACTGGCCGTGCTGTGATGATCCGTACACCGGTGGATGGTCGCATATGATTCTTTAATTTCTGTAATTCAATTTATTTCATTTAAGTTATCCAATTTAAATGCGTCCAAACAAGCGAGCACAAGCGATGATTCGGATGGTCTCCACTCGACTTGGGTGACTGCCAACTGCCGTGCAATAAGGAAGAACGCCGTATGAGCCTTCAGACGCTGCCATATTTCCGTCAATGAAAACCTAATTTACTAGGAAAATCGTTAATATTTTCCTTCAATTTTTCAAGGTAATGGAGAATTTGCAGGTGTCCAAAATTTTGTGAATTTTATGTCTAAAATGAAACTGCTAGGAAAACTGAGTACGAGGATATCCTTGGTTTTTAAATTGAAGAATTATTGGAGAAAATATAGCAAAATGACCTAATTTGCTAAAATGCATATGTTTAAATGGAAATTGACGCCAGATGACGTTACAAGGCGGAAAAATTCCTCACTTTTAAGTCAATCTTTCTCCAATTTCCCATGTCAGAAAAAAATTATGAAAAATACCGGGAACTCAGCTCATTATACACTCTCAGATGAAACAATGGAAATTTGTGTTCAAATCCTCCATTTGGTTTGCAATTTTATCTAAAACGTCTAAAAATGTCATGCACGGAGAAAAAAAACTTCGTGTGTGGGACCCAAAGTTTAGGTCATATGGATCTCTGAAGTTTTCAGCTTGAGCATCCGAACACTGAAGGTCCAGCTACTGAGGTTTGGATCACGCATCTGAAACTTCAGTTCTTACATCTGAAGTACTTCGGTTTTTACATCCGAAAAACTTCCGTTCTCACATCTGAAGTACTTCAGATGTAAGAACTGAAGTTTCAGATGTGTGATTCGAACTTCAACAGCTAGACCTCAAATGTTCAGATGCTCAAGCTGAAAACTTCAGAGATCCATATGACCTAAACTTCGGGTCCCACGCACGAGGTTTTTTTCTCCGTGTGGGAAAAAAAGCAATAGTACATATTTTATTCGGGGCAATTTGGCAACTCTCGAATGTTCATACGGCGTTCTTCCTTAGCACGGCGGAATACGAGGGCATTGTGGACCCGGTGTCCGGTGCTCTGCATGAATGGAACCGCCGCGAGCTCAGATTAGAGGCACCGCAAGTTGTGGGACAAGCGGACGTCGGACCGAAACAGCTCATCTGCCTTTGGTTCCCATAAAGGCTGGGCTGTTCTTCCCTTGAACTTGTCGTTGCGCCTATTCCTTTAATGAAGTTACTTGCTCGGGTCGCTTGGTCAACGTGCTGGCACGCGATCACGGTGTCGGCGCTGGCGCTTCGAGCCTATTCTGCCGTGCTAAGGAAAAACGCCGTATGAACCTTCAGGCGTTGCCAAATTTCCTTTGATAAAACAAGAATTCTCTGGTAAACTTATGAATATTTTTCTTCCAGTTTTTCAGATAATTTTGTTCGTAATTTCACCGAAAGTTTCAGAAAATTTCAAGGAAAAATATTCATAACTTTCCTCAAAAATAAACATTTTATCGAAGAAAATTTGGCAACTCTCGAATGTTCATACGGCGTTTTTCCTTGGCACGGCAGCACTCGCCTTAATTAAAACAATGAACGAAACTAAAAAACAGCGAACCGATTAAATCAACTAAGGCTAAAATCAACTTAAAAACTCAATTCGCTTACGAATCTAATTGCCACCAGACTAGTTTCGGGAGCTTTCATCCATCTCCCATCTTCAGTGGTTGTTGACTGATTCGGAATTCGTGGTCGCATTGCACGCATGTGGCTGAACTTTGGACTCCAATGCTCGGAACAGGATGTTGTCTAGTCCGTCCAAATCCTCATTTAAAACGTTCGCGCGGTGTTTAAAAATATATAACTTCTCTGCTGTGTTTAGTTGACTGACTTTGGTGACTGATTTGAGTAATTCAGGTTTTAATTCTATGCTGTGTTTTGCCTCCCAAAAATGCTTTGCCACTGCTGATTTCGTTGTTTCTTCGTTTTTTATGTTCCTAGCGTGCTCTTTAGCTCTTGTTTCGATATCTCTTTTCGTTTGTCCGATGTACACTTTCTCGCATCCAGAACAATTTATTTTATAAATTCCCGATTTTTTTAAAACGGGTGTCTCATCTTTTAAATTCCTCATTCCAATATTTCTAAGGTTGTATTTATTTTTGGGAGCTACGCATAGACCATAATTTTTAAAAACTTTTTTCAGGTCTGAATAGATTGCAGGATGATAGTTTACTGAAACCCATTTTCTTTCTTCACAATCCTTTTGAAGGGTGGTAATATTCCTGATTCGTTGTTTGTATTTTGCTGTGTTAATTATCCTATTGATTTCTGATGCCTCAAACCCATTTTTTTGCCCTATTTCAATAATTTTTGTCCTTTCCCTATTCAGTCTTTCTGGTGTCAAGGGGACTTTGATCATTCTTTGTTAAAGAGCTAGCTAAAGAGCACGCTAGGAACATAAAAAACGAAGAAACAACGAAATCAGCAGTGGCAAAGCATTTTTGGGAGGCAAAACACAGCATAGAATTAAAACCTGAATTACTCAAATCAGTCACCAAAGTCAGTCAACTAAACACAGCAGAGAAGTTATATATTTTTAAACACCGCGCGAACGTTTTAAATGAGGATTTGGACGGACTAGACAACATCCTGTTCCGAGCATTGGAGTCCAAAGTTCAGCCACATGCGTGCAATGCGACCACGAATTCCGAATCAGTCAACAACCACTGAAGATGGGAGATGGATGAAAGCTCCCGAAACTAGTCTGGTGGCAATTAGATTCGTAAGCGAATTGAGTTTTTAAGTTGATTTTAGCCTTAGTTGACTCGCCTTAATTGTTGAACTGCGCGCGATGCACGTAGTACGTGCCGATAACGAGAACCTGGAAACGTTAAGATGAATTTAATAGTAGACGAACAGAATAGTAGTGAATAGTAGTAGTTTAGTAGTAATTAGAATAGTAGTGAATTTAGTAGTAACTCCGCCAATTTCTGAACATTGCCCATAATAAACACCCAAACGGTTAACTGTGATTAACTGATTTAACCGACCGGGAACAGAATCAACTTTTACACCAAATGCAGGAACAGTTCAAGAATGGAGAACATCTACAGATGAAACCCTACAATGGAGGATTTGCACACTGAAAAAAAAAAGTTACAAGCTATATGGACATACCGTCTGTTCCCGGCTCACATGCCGAAAGTTACGGGCGCTGAAGCCGTAGCTTCGATTGCTCCGGGTGTTGCGCCCGGAACTCTCGGCCTCTGAGCTCGGAATGCGGGTGGTATGTCTATATAGCCCGTAAGGACGGATTCCACGGCCGGATTTTTGTTCAATGCACATTAACATTTTATTGCTTCGTCTGAGAGTGCTCAATGAGTTGAGTTCGCAGTATTTTTCATAATTTTTTTCTGAAATAGAAAATTGTGAAAAAATATGTTTAAAAGTGAGAAAATGTGCCGTCTCGTAACGTCGTCTGGCGGCATTTTCCATTTAAACACATGAATTTTAGCTTATAGGTCATGTCATCATATTTCCCCCAATAATTATTGTTCAATTTACAAACAGAAGATGTCCTCGTGCTCAGTTCTCTTTGTAAAACCATTTTAAATTTACAACATTTCAGGCACTTGCAAATTCTCCATCGAAGGGTCCAATGCACGAGAGCGTGTAGTGAAATTGAGGCGTACAGGATCAAAACGGACTCAACTTTTTCAGTTTTTAGAAAACCGCAAAAAATTGTGTTTCCGGTATTTGTCGATCTGTATTTTTCTAATACAGCCTGAAACTTCGTAAGTACTGAAAGGAATCGGTATCAGAAAATGTGGAGCACCATAATCATTGCGTTTTTCAAAAATTTAGAAGAAAATAATTTAAGATTTCTGTTTTGATCCTCACATTATATGTGTTTGTCACAGGTAACCTGAAATAATTATCTTTTCATGCGGGAGATATTAAGTATTTTCTAATTATTTTTATTGTTACAGATCGAACGAGAAGTAACTTTAAGCAGTACAGATAAGAACTCAAAAATACCAATCTTAAATGACTATTTGAAGAGGCCAAATTCCTCCATTGCTCCAGATGCTCCTCACATACAGATGGCATGGATTGAAGACAAACATAGGGTAAGTTCTGAAAATTTGTTGTTGATAATTATAATTTTTAGTTACTTGAATAATATTCGCTAAGATTCATAAAAAAAAAAAAATTGTACCCATCGAAAAGGAAAAGCGAGGCTAAGATTCAAAATTGTCAATAATTAGCTTACCGCAATAAAGGTCGATGATCGTTAGAGAAACCTCGCGGAAAAGAGAGACACGTGAACGAAAACCATGACCTGCTTACTTTAACCCTCAATTTTTCAAAAAACTGTCATTACCATTTGTCAAATACCATTTTCAATTTAGTTTTCTGTTCTCTGTCATTTTATAATTTATGTTTTTTTCCCTTTTTGTTTAGAATTCAAATTTAAATCACACTGGATCTCAACAAACGCAAAACCTCCAAGTGTTTAAGGTACGTCTCATCATTCAACTTTTCAGTCTTGCAGGTTCAAATTGATTTTTTTCAATTTAACATGATCATTTGAGTGATTTTGAAGCAACATTTCACTATACTCGTAGGCGTGCAAAAACATTGCACAAGTGAAACCATTTATTGAAGACGCTGGATGCAGTGCAGCCTTTTTACGTTCCCTGTTTATCAGGAGGTCAAAACTGTGTCTGATGATCCTTATTAAGTTTGTCGTAGAAGCTTTTCAACAAAATCCCTGATTTGACCCTGCGACGTATGTACATTATTTTTTGCGAGAGTGACGAAACTATCATCGAAATTTAGTTTTATAGTTCTCTTTTAACATTCTTTTGTTTCCTCTTCCTCTTCTTCTCCTATTTCTTCCTCTTATTCTTCTTCACCTCCAGTAGCGCTGAAATCCAGGTGGTCAACAAACTTTGGGATAACGTCTCTTCACTGGATCCTATCTGGATATCAGCCCCTCATCTTGTATTGACACGATTCAGATTCAAAATATACTAATTTTAGTTATTTTTCTTGTTTTTGACAGGCTCAACCAATGAATTTGATGGATTCAAGCCAAATTTCAGAACTGTCTCCAATTCGAGGCCAAGATCTATCCTGCCCACCTAACCTTAGGTAAATATCAACTTCCAACTGCATGATGTGAAAATTTTCAATGCTTGCACCGTAGAGAATTAAATGCTATATGATAGTATTTTGGTGGTCAAAATTGTGTCTGATCATCCTTAGATGTGGCTTGACTGTCCTTGCAGCAGTTTACTGTAAATTCTGTGAATGCAAAAACAGTGGAGGGCAGTTTTTCAGGATGCCTCAAGATGCGCTCAAATAGAGTTAAAATTTCAAAAATTTCCCGGGACCCCCCTCTGATGAGCTGGGAAGTATTCCATACTCCTCCGACCCCCCCCCCCCCNCCGGTAGTGGGGGGGGCAGACCCTCTCCAGCAAAATGACCTAGGTACGCCTGTGCCGCCGACTAACTGCAATGAATCATGTAGACATCTCGGAATTCCTCATTTAGTGCTAATTTTAATATAATCTTTTTTTTATTCACAGCCAAATATCCTCTGGTGCGGTCCCGAAAAATGGACCAGTTCACTCTACCCCGGAATCCGAGAACTCTACCTCAAAAGCTCTACACACGAGAACCTACCATACCATCCGCGACATGATATCCAGCAGGTTCTCGAAGAACAAAATGGAACCGTGCACGGAGACCGAGCTGAACAACGCCGAGAGCAACAACGGCGTCACCCAGACGACGACAACGCCGACGACGAGGCCGGAGGAAAGTCTCAGCCCTCAAAGTCAGCTGCGGCAACACGGTGTGTACATCGGCACGGTGGCGCAGAGCCCGCAGCAGCAGATCAGAATCATGCAGCAGAATCAGATCCTCAGCCGGAACAACGAAATCATGCGACGGAACCAGGAGATCCGGGACCGACATCAACAGCAGCACCAACAGCAGCAGCAGATGCAGCACCAACAGTACCAGAACGTGTCGCAACAGTACCAACAATACCAGCAGCCGCAGCACTATCAGCACCAACACACGCAGCCGCACGTGAACCAACACCACATCCAGCACCACACGCCGCAACACCAGAATCACCACATGCAACAACAGCTCATGAGCCAGCAGTTGTACCAACAACGGGAGAAGGTCCTTGAAACCGCCATCGACACGCCCCCACGGCACGTTGTCGAGTCGAACCAGAAAACCATCTACCTCGACTCCAGGGGACTTTCCGTCCACACCCCGAACCAACGCCCGCTGAACGAAACCGAAACACCGGTCGGCCGACGGTTGGAGAGCATGTACGGTCAAAGACCCGTCATCGCGGATACTAGGATGGCCAAGAGCCAGATGGACCTCTCGTCCTGCAACGATCCGAACACACCGACGCTAAGGTATCCGAACAACATGCCAGCCGAGATCTCCAGGTCGACCACCGTCTTGAGTCGAACGCCTCTGACCCCCGTCGCTCAGAAAGAGTTCAGGCGGCCGGAGAACCACCGGACGCCGGACCAGAAGATGTCGCAGCCCCCACCGAACCCCAAACCGTCGCATCTGAGCGTGCGACCCGTGGACGACTACACGAACAGGATCCCGGAGATGACACACTACAACGGGCAACAGACACCCAACTCCGTGTACCACAAAGTAGCCAAAGAGGACATCCTCCGGGAACCGATTACCAAGAACGAGGAACAGATTCAGAGGGATGCTTATCAGGCTGCTCAGAAAGACACTTACCAGAGTGCTCAGAGGGATGGTTACCAGCAGAATGCGCCGAGGGACGGTTACCAGCAATGTGCTCAGAAGGACGGATACCAGCAGAGTGCTCAGAGGGACGGTTACCAGCAGAGTTCTCAGAAAGACGGATACCAGCAGAATGCTCAGAGAGATGGTTACCAACAGAGTGCGCAGACTTATGATAGCTCGAGGGAGAACATCAACCAAGCGCATAGCGGTGAGGATGAAGGCGGGTTCAGTAAGAGCGGTCCACTCAGTGGCATCAGTTCGGACTACGATAAACTCCGCAATAGTGGGCACTCCGATTCGGGCAGGGGAAGCACTGTCTACAGCAGCGGTAAAGCGGGGAAGTCTGATAGACAAATTGATACGTCACCTGAACTGTCTTCCGAACCTCATAGAAATCCAGGTGAGACTAGATTCTTCGTAACTTTCATTTGTCTACACTGGGGAAAAAAACACATTGGATCTAGAGTCCAGACTCTTGAAAACATTGTCAAGAAAAAATACTCTTGATTCAATCGGATTTTTGCTTGAATCCAAACGAAATCCGCTTAAATTAAGAGGCTTGGTTCTTGATTTAAGCTAGATCATGATTGAATCAAGAGTACTTTTTCTTGTCGATGTTTTTAAGAGTCTGGACTCAAATGTGAGATCAAATGTGTTTTTTTTCCAGTGTAGGTATGTTTGCTTCATCGATTTTCAGATTCTATTTGGGAAAAAAGAGAGGGAGAAAAAAAAATAAAAACGAGAAACTAAAAAGATAGGTAAAGAGACATACTGCCGTGCTAAGGAAAAACGCCGAATGAGCGCTCGAATGTTGCCAAATCGCCTCTCAGAAAATATTTATTTCTGAAGACAATTAAGCATATTTTTTCTTAAAATTTTCAGATATTTTAGATTAAATTGTGAAAAAAAATTTCTGAAAAATTGGGGGAAAAATATTCAAAATTTTCCCAGCGAATTCGTTTTATATAGAAGGAAATAAGGCAACTTCTGGAGGCTCATACGGTGTTCTTCCTTAGCATGATAGTGTAAGCGGGACGGCAATTACAACCGAAAGCGATAAGTACGCATTATTGCCGAATAGGTCACACGCCAGTTCGTTCGAGAGGGATAGTAACCGAACTCGGAGGCTGAGTGTCTGCAAGTTTCTTTTTTTCACCAAAAAAAAATTACTTATAAGAAATGTTAGGAGTTGAGAGAAGTATGCAATTACTATAAATGAAGGTGCTAATCATCTGCATATGCAGGCTACGAACTCGATTCTTTCGCCTGCGAAGCATCAACAGCCTTCGGATAAAGTTGACGCATTGTAGCGAAAGTGAAACGTGTATTGCATCCTCTGATTTTGAAGGCGCAAATCACCGTGTAAGCATTAAAGGCACTTTTTTGGGCTAAACATGTAACTCTTTTATAGTGGCATTATTTTAATATTCGAATTCTCTTAATTATTTAACTTTGCATTCTTCTTTTACAGTTGCTAATGAAAATGGTTGGGTGGACGTAGTAGAAAATGAACTTAGAAATATTTTGGATCCAAAATTACAAGCAAATGCAGCAGATTCAACCATCAGTGAGAGCATCTCTTCATTAACTCCTCCACTTCCTCCTCTCTCGCCGACTGGATCATCTGATGATCAACAACCAATACAGCACAAACATAAAAGGTAAAATTATAAAAATTAATTATTTTTTTTAAAAAAAAAACAAAAATTTACATTTTGCACTCTAAGTCCTTCTACATGTGTTTCTAGTTGAAAAAAAACTTGTGCACTTGAAAGTTACTTAGTGACAGTTTAAGGCTCATTTTCTCCTCTAAAATTGCCTTTGATGTAGGCTCTAATGGAAACTACAAAACAAGTTTCCTCGTAATCTCTTCCCATTTTAAAAAATCATCTTTATCAGAAACTTTCCACATTTCTCCGTATTTTGAAGATATGTTTTTTGGTGGAATTTGAATCCTAGGTTTTTCCTGCTTTCCTTGAAACACCCTCTATTGTGATCTCAATTGACCCTTTTTTAAGGTTTAAAAAGCATTTTTATCTATTTCCTGAAAATCATGAAGATATGTATACAGGCTAAATTAAAAGAGTAGTATTTCATGCAAACAGAAGCAAAGAGCAAGAAAAGACAAATAATATTTTCCATTTCCCTACTTGCAGATCCTTTTCACATGAACCATATTTCATGAAAATGAAAACTAATTTAAAAATCGTGATAAGTCAATGTAATTGTATGTTTCCAGTCTACCATACAACAGCAAGCCAGAATATCCGACAACAAAAAGCGGGAAGTGTGTGACAACGCCAGCACCAGGGAAGGGGACATGGAGCGCTCGTATGAATAGTAAAGATAAATCCTCTCATCATAGAATGGCAGCAAACAAACGAAATGAAACTCCAAAAATACCTCAAAGTAAGTTACCTTTTATTTGCGTTTCCTTTACATCAAATTAATGGATCTTGACCATCATCGGGCTCATTACAAAGGGGGGCAGAGGCAGGGAGCAGAGGGGGGGATCTTTGTCAATGTGTTAATATTTCTACCTGGAAACATTCATAAGTATATCAATAGCCAAAGTGCGGAATGCATAGATATTTCAGATTGTAATGTTGCAAGCCTCTCCCCCCCCCCCAATTGTATATTTTAAAGAATAATAAGTAGCCCCTAGTAGCAGAACTCGAAGAAATAAGTTAAATACTATTTATATTTAGGTACCTATTTAACTGTTAGAAAACTGTAAGTTTTTTGAACTTTTGAAATATTTTCATGTGAAAATCCTTGCCTTTACGTCTAAAATACCCATTTCTCATTGATGTTATTTTTTTCTCCTCTAGTGTTACTAAGTCATCATTTTGACATTGATTCAATGCTAGATGACAATAATTCAAGTGATGAAGAAAGCACCACCATTGACACTCACCACGCTCAAACCATTCGGAAACAATTAGAAGCTCTAGAAACAATGTATTCTGAGGTAAAAATTGACATTTTTAAAATCATGACATGTACCTTCTCATTTAATGAGTACCAAGTTGCCATGAGAGAGGCTCCAAAAAAATAGGAGAGTAATCGAAAACCATAGTAATGAGGGTAGGTATCTGATCTTGCAGAGTGGGTTTCAAACCTTTATTGGAAGGAAATAATCATAATCCCAGAATTTGTTGAATTTTTCACTTATTTTTCTCTAGGCACACCTAGCTGAGTAATTCATTATACACTTTTGTATGTACATGCAAAGACTTCACACTCCATCAATTCTAGGAGAGACTATTTCCAGGGCCGGATTAAGGGGGTGGCCACATGAGCCGCGGCTTATGGCGGCAAATTTAGGAGGTGGCAAATTTTGCGATTTTTTTAAGTGAAGGTATAAAGCAAATCGGATTCAGAAAAAAATACAAACGAGAAAAGGCGACAAAATCTCTCATTTCCTGAGAGTATTGTAATTTATCATTGCGTCAAACACAGTGCGTTTAGCACCGCTCGACGTGAAACGCAAAGCGCCTACAAGACTGTAGGAATACTTCACGCATTGCGGAAAACACAGTGCGGTCAGCGCGGCGCGGCGGCGGAAGTTAAAATTATTAAACCACATTTATGTTTGTTCTTTCATAATTTTGTCGTTCATTTCTTATAAACGGAAGGCCTTTTCCACACAGAGATAGGTTTACGGAACTTAACTTTAACTTTCGCGCAAAGTTCCGTGAAATTTTGCTGGTAGTGTTGACGTAGGGCTTTCGCAAAAAATGTGTCCAACACGAATAAACGCGTCTTATGCACCCCTACCCCTCCGGCACGTTCACTTGATGGTTTTTATTGATGTTTCAAAACGAATGAGAAGTAAATACAGGCGGCCCATGGGCGGCAAGAAGGCGAATCCGGCCCTGACTATTTCTAATCTCTTTGTCCAAAATATTTTACTTTTTGAAAATCATCAAAAAAATGACAAAATAAAGATTTAGTTCGAACTGTAGTCTTATTATATTTACATATCTGGATACAAATAATCATTATTGTTGAACTTACTTCGATTTATGTTTTACAAATTAAATAGCATTTGTATTTCTACTTTATTTTAGGTATTAAAGTTGCTCGGAGTGCGGAAAAATGCGAGCCATCACTACCAGCCCTCTGACCCTCGCATCCATCGCAGGCGACTGCATGGAAGCATGTCATCTTTGCCCTCCTCAGTCAGTAGCCGACCAATCAGAGACAAGCACAGACGAACTGATGAACGTAAAAAAGTTAAAGATATACGAGTAAGTTGCTACACTAGCCTTAATTTTGTCAAGATCATGAACAGTTCAACTGCTCAGGAATCAATATTAAGAAGTTTCAGACTGAAACGCGATCTTTGAAATGAAAAAAACCAATGTTCGAAATCTTGTCTTGGAATAATGTGTATGATTTTTAGTAGTTAACGGATAAAATGAATTTGAATTTTGTTGACACTCCTGACAAAGAATGTAGGTCATTTTCTCTTCATTAGAAGCAGATTCAACATTAATTTTAAAATTACTTGATTAAAAACGAATATATGTTGCACGAGAGGGATTAACTTTCATCTCCTCTTTACCCTCTATGAAGTGGCTAAAATTTTGCTTCAAAATTGAGGGTCATCTGAGTCAAATTTTTTTCCTTGAAGTTTTGAACTCATGATAATGACTGCACACAAGTATTATGCGAAGGATTTACAAAGAGCCTCAATTGAAAATTTCAATTCACTTTTTTTTCTCTTTTACAGGGAATCAACAAGCGATTCCAGAGATTGGAATCTCACGTTGTTACTTTGGCACGTTCAGTGGCTCATCTTTCCTCGGAAATGCGAACTCAGCACATAATGATCCAGGTGATTAATTGACTAACTCTCTTCTTTCATTCATACTTATGAAATAAATTTGAAAATCCGTCATTGCCTTGGATAATCAGGTGCACCTCAAAAATGTTGTCTACTTTTTCTGAACCATAAATTTCCTGAGGCTTAAATTAATTTTAAAAACTCTCGAAAAATATGAAACTAAATCTGTACTCAATGTACAATTTTTACCAAAGGTGTAATTTTTTGAGGTGTAAAATATTTTTATCAGAATCAGTAAACTCTCTCAGACAAAAAATATTTCAGGAAATAATTTTAGAAAAATTATGATACTATAAATTCTTTCCTGTTGAATTTTGATCGTTGGTGCATGCAATGCGAGTAATTCTTTGACAAATACATATCCAGAATTATAGAACAATATTTATAATTTTGATATGTGTTTCAGGAAATGGAGGTGATCCGAGGAGAGTTGGCAGCTTTGAGAACACAAACTAATATGCTAGCGATTCGGTCTCATTCTACTGCACCGTGCCAAGCCCCAGCTCCAAACACTGCATCAGAGCAGGTCAACTCAAGCCCAGGAAAAGTCAAGAAATTAACAAAATTCTTTGGCGAGGAGCCTCCTCTGATGAAGCTGTTTTTGGAAAAATTAGGCTATGAGGTAAGTTCTGAGTTTTGTACCTTATTATTGTGACTGAAAACTATCATGCAAAATAAAGGAAAAGAAGTTCGAAACTCAATTTCAAAATAACATAATTGCATAAACAACTAGACAGCCTTCAAGGAAATGTATCAAACACACCAGATACATATTTCCTTCTTACTCAGTCTTGGCGGTATACCAAAAACAAAACTTTAAATGCACTTTTTTAAAACGCCTTTCTACTCTAGATCGTTTCCCCATAAATTGCCTCAATTGCAATCATAAATTTTTTAATTGAAACTGTATTTTTTTACATATTTGGCTGGGAGAAAGTGATAGAACTGAGTAAATAACATTGCCCTCTGAGAAAGTCTTTCTCAATTATATTATTTTTTAGTACGATATACATTTTCACTGAATGTTTTGGAGGATTTTACCAAGAGTCTCTTGTCAGTGGAATGTCTAGTTTGCATTAGATTATTATATTTCTCTCATCAAAATAATATTCATAAGTACAGGATTTTTACACTTCAAAAGGTGTAGTTACAAAGAAGCATTATAGCCACTGAATTTACTGTAACTAAATAATAGAATACATGGTATCTTTTCTGGTAAAGAGTGAAATTTGTTCAACCATCAAACGATCCCTGATGTTTCTGTTTCTTTCCACATGCAGTGAACTGCAGAGAAACACACCGCCGAAATACCGCCGAATCGCTACATTACTTTAACGGTCATTGATTTATTTTGTTCCAGAAATACGCAAAAGTTTTTGAAAAAGAGCGGATTGGCTTTGTTGAGCTACCGTACTTGACGGAAGAAAGACTCCATAAACTCGGAATCCCTCTTGGGCCACGCTTACGGATCATGCAAGAGGCACAGATGGGATTCCCTACTTTTGAGAACACACTCTGCGTTATTTAAAATCAAGTCAGTAATGGTCAAAAAAATTGGAGAGCCAACAAATACACGATTAAAGTCGACTTCAGGCAAAAGTACAAGAGCTTTGTGTATTTATAAAGGGTGCACTTATGTTTGTCTTCAGACTCTTCTAGGGACTCTAGAAGAATTTCTCCTACTCCAAAAGATTCTAAAAGACTTTTACTGATGCTTTTTTTTTTCAACTTTTCTATTTTTTTTACCTGGTAATTTTGCTCAGGTGCCGTAATCTCAAAGAATACAATAAGTGTAGCTGATTCATGTAAATGTGTACACAAAACAAAAAATTAGATGTCTAATTTTTCTTTGTAAATAATTCCTTATTTCTCTTTAAATTTCTATAGATTTTTACAGACAACTTAGGATAGTTAAAACTGTGATACAAATGCAATGAATGAGTTTGAAAACCAATGTAAATACTTCAATTCAAGTAAGATATATTGAGTTCTGTGCTTTCAACAGGACTGACCGTGTAAATTCTGTCAAATTCTATGGACAAGATACTGTATGTTTTGTACATTCACTGTATTTATTATTTTATTTAAAAGCACCTAGATAATAAGTTTGTGACAGTTGGTTATTACTTATAGCATCCTGAGTTCAAATTTCTAATAAATCAGTTTTTTTTTAAAAAAAAGAAATTTGATGTTCTGTTTTCTATTCCCATAACCTAAGCCCTGGTCATCTTGATGCAATATTTTTTTTCTCTTTTCAAGTTGCAGCAAGAAACAAGCATCAGCCAAATTACCAATAGTTAGCCCTTAGCTTGCCAGTTCTTAGTCTTACTATGCCCTAATCCCTAAATCTTATTTTAAAAAACCGCATCTTACTGCAATGAGGACTTCAGTCGGAATTTTTAGATGCATCACTTTGACTGGATACCTCCTTCAGGATCCTACATGTAAACTGTACCTTCTCTACAGTTCCATTCATACACAGTTATATCAAGTCAAGGAGGTTTCCAAAGGTGTCTTTAAATTTCGGCCTAGTCTCTGAGGCAGCTTTTCTCGTGAACAGCTTGAGAAAGTACATTTTAAGCAAAAGTTGTAATGAAGTCACAGAAACTAGGCGTTATGGACAAATCTTATTAATGTTTGCTATTCTATGAGCTCAAACCGATGAACTGCAATTCTGTGACCAACCCAACAGACCATCTCAGAAGAAAGTGTTTCCTTCTTAACTCTTGAATGAAAAAAACAGTGCAAATTGTAGTTGTAAAAAAGGGATTAGAATAAATGCAATGTAAAACGAAAATGCTAGATATGAGTGTTCGATATTTTTTAATTTAAATTGTTAAGTTCAAACAGTTTCAATTCACAATAAAAACCTCCTGAAATAGAAAAAAAAGTGCACTTACAAAATTTGTAACCATTCACACACTGTGTCTTCTTCCACTTAACATCAGTGATCAAAATAGAGAAAAGCAGAAAATTTACGATTTACACAAAGGATGACAGTGATTTTCAGCTGCACAGCACCTGCTCAAAAGCTCTGAATGAAAATAATGATAAAAATAAATAAAAAGATGTTTAAGCGAGAAGAAATTTAGAGTATTTACATACTTGATGGAGTGAAAACGAAACAAAGTCATGAAAATATACAAATGAGGATCTTAGAATGACATTTATTTCTTTAAAATTATGATACATTAGGTAAGTAAAAATTTTGATTCAAGACTTTAAAGGACCAAGTGACCAAACTCCATTTTAAGGACCAATGTTTTGGTTTGAAATGTGACCTTATCTTCAAATGTACCTCAAGTGATCAAAATATACTTAAAATACAATAGCAATGTGAACACAAGGGACAAGTACAAAATCTAATAATGAACAATTTTACATAAACTTTCTAGCAATGGGAAAGTTAAGACATATTTATAGGTTCATAGGGAAAAAGATAGACTTAAAAAGGATGACAATACTGATTTCAAAAATCAAAATTAAATGAAGGTATTAAAAAGGATGACAATACTGATTTCAAAAATCAAAATTAAATGAAGGTATTAAATCTAAATTCAAATGATTAGGGAACATCATGCCCTTATTCCAAATTCATGGAGATCTTTTGTAACTTAACAAAAGTCGATGCAAAATTCTTTCTCTTGCTCACAGGAAGAAAAACAAAAAAGAAGGAAAAACAATATTGAATCTGATTTGTCTTTCAATTTAAAAAAGGTGCGTAAAAAGGATTTAAAAAAATATTTCTTGCTAGCACAGCAATATCAATACTCTCATTCTGGACTGAGTTCCTTAGTCAAATATAAAAAAAAAGAAGGCAACAGTAAGGCAAGTTTTATGATACGCACTTTCATCCACTGTAAAAAATAAATGAAGGCCTTTTTTAAGACACTTAAAAAAATAAAAGGCACGTGACAATTGCTTGTTTTATCGACGAAAGCTAAAGGAAAGGCATGACATAATTTCAAAATACAAGACATAAACGTTTAACTTCAATACATTTTAGGAGTCATTTGCCTGGGAAACCTAATTTTCCAACTCCACGCGTCAATTTTTAGAGCTGCAAGGGTTTCTGATATTAGATCAAGATACCGAGCGACAAGCAAAATTGCAACAAAAATCAATCACTTTTGAGACACCTGTTTGGCGCAAAGCCCCTTATGGGCCAGAAAGCCTCATTTCGTTTATGGGTGGCTCTCAATGAAGTTAAACGCTGCAGGGCTTGCTTCCTTTGAAGTGCTACTTCTCGTCCGATTTGAAACTAAAGATTAAAGATTTTGCAGCAGAAAGGAGGATTGTTATCAGATGGTGCTGAGAATCAACAATTTTCCCTCCTTTTAAATCCATGTAAAATAATAACATTTCATCACACAATCTGGTCAACTGTTTTTGACCAACCACTTTACTTGTCCCTGCAGCAACTCTCATTGTTAACAATTGATAGATGCGTAGGCAGGTACCAAAAAATAAAATTGGAGGATCTAAAAATTGCTCTATATTTACTGATATTAAATTTTTCTGTCTTGTATTTCGGAGAAATGTTTGACATTTGAGTGACATCACTATGCCAATATTCATGATCAGAGTGAATAAAAATAAAATTAAGATTTTCTTCAAGATTTTTCGAAAACAATTTCTGCACTTGAAAATATAATTTACATGGACATGTAAAATATACCAAATTAGAGTGAAATAGGAGGAAAACAATAGCTAAGACTTAGACTGACAAAATCTACGACTGCAGGATTTACACAGCAAAGGACCCAGCGCAGAACTCATTTACTCTGATTGACGTGAGAACCAGTTAGATACACTACCTACTAAAAATCATAAATCAAAACAAGATAGTGTGTAGAACGGCTTAAATGATTGTAGAGCATGATAGACAGACGCTGGGTCTTTATAGGCATTTGATACCATTGAAAAGGCCTTTTTAAAGAACTCTTATTGCATACCAGGTCTTTTCATTTGTTAAAAATATTAAAATCATCAAAAAATATACATCGATTGCACTATTAAGTCCTCACTCTATGGGTAAAATGACCTACCACTTAAAAATACTGATAAACTCTCACTACTCAGGGCTGAGCAATTTTTCGTGGTAAGGGATTCCAAAAGAGATAAAAAAAATTGTACAGGTAAATATTGTATAAATAAATAAATAAATTAGGGCATTAAAGTAGATTCAATTACTACTACTAGAAAATTCATGACAGAGTAGACTCTCTAATGAATATTTTCTTGATATTTACCATCAATGATTAGAAAAATATTTCCATGATTTTATCGGTAAGTATTTAAAAAAGTCTAAAAAAATAGAGCACTCAAATCGAACTGATGACTGCAATCATTCGCCACTTTTCTTTAAAAAAAAAATAATAACATTTTCAAATTGTAACTAGGAAAATACTTTTGAAAATACTGCCGGGACAATTCAGAGCTGAAAAAAATTAATTTTCGGAGGATAAGTAGGTTATGTTAATTATATGAATTCCTGCAAGTTTAATTGAAGTCTTAAAAAAGGCAAAGGTAGCTTTGTAAACCACAAAGAGCTACTGAATTTCAATTTTACAAAAAAGCAAAATTACATAAATACAATTTTGATCTAATTGAGCAGTCGTTCACTGAAAATAAAAATCGAAAGATCATAGGAATATACTTTGCGGAGAATTGTGACAATAAGCGATACAACAAATACATTTAAGTTTTGCAATTTTTTGGTGATAGACTCAGCAAAGACAAGGCACAATTAGATTTTTTATATTGATTTTAATTAAGAAACTCACTTAACAATTATTTTCCCTCTGCAATGGGAGTGTTCCGAATTGACTGAACACTTAAATAATGTAATAACTCCTGACTTCTTCAACTTAAAGAATATCAATGGAAAGGAAGTAGTAAACCTTTAATTTTCATATTTTCTAGTAGAGACTCTAACTAAGAAAGCAGTACCTACTGTCTGCATTTCCTACAAATTTAACTGCATCAGTTAATGCAGTGTTCAGTCTCAAATACTACAGAATTTCATCTGATGGAGAAATGAGAGCCATTGCTGCATAATTAAACTTGCCTCTGACTAGTAAAAACGGGAGATTCAAAAATTTACTATACAGCTAAATCAATTAACAAAACCTGTGTTACACTTAAAAGTTACGTCTAAATACAGTGGCCTAGGTATGATATGCATCAACAGATAAAACGGTGAAATGAAAATAAATTAAACATGATTCACTCACTAGGTTGTGAATTAGGGAGACTGATAAAATCGCTCGCAATAGTTTTTAAGAAATTTGATTCACATACATTGTCACTCTGTAAAAGTAAATACACAGAGCACATACTTTAGGATATAATACTACCCAATTTCTTTTTTTAAAATGGAAAACTGTTTAAATATTATTCCTCGTGAATTGTCAATTTTTCTTCCAATGATTATACGAGAAAATTCAATAAGGACATTAACACAACCTGAAAGACAAAAACTGTCATTGATAAGAGAACTTTGTTCGGTTTGATATACATCTCAGGCTTGGATTTTTGAAATTTAAAGAAAAAAAAAGTGTAAATAGCTCATACTTGGAGCAATGAATCTAAGAGAGCACACAAAATTGATATTTTAAGTTTTACTGCTCATTACTTTCTGTATCTTCATAGAATATTCCGTTTACAGCGTCGAAGCAAACATTTGTCAAGTCCACTGGATCTAACATGAGAGGAAAAAAAACCAATTTTTACAAGTTTTGGTGAGGACTGATTGCAGTGATTAAAAAACAGAGGTGTATAACTATTAACTAGGAAGAGAAAGAAACTGTGAATGAGCGAAGACAGGATATAAACAGGGGCCAAATTTGAACAGTCTCAGGTGATAGTAACCGATCTGGAAACTTAGTGGGTTGAAAAAAAAATACATAAAATATAAAAACGAAAAACTTGCCAACATTAATCGATCATCAGTTCAAAATGGACGGACCCCGTTCGATCCTTTCGGTCGTGAATTATGTTCTTTGCCCAAGCTTTGCACTCGATGTTGATAAGAATTCCCGCTAAATTTGGAAGAAGAAAAAAAAAACAATCAATAATTAGTTATAATATATTCCACATTCATAACCAAATATTATCATCTCCCACAGGAGAGAACATATCATGTCTGCACTATTTTAGTATTTCTACGTACATTTTATTTTTTTATAGGAGAGCTGTCGCACAAACTAGCCTGAAAGTAATCTTTTGTCACAGAGAGAAAGAAAAATCACTGGATGTTTCAAGAAAATTCATAAGACGGTTTTCCTAAAATCAGATGAAATGTAAAAGAAAAATGCTGAAACAGCGCAATCAACATATGTACATTCCTACCTGTGGAAGAGGACAATATAGTTTTAATTTGCAGAGCTTTTGCTCTCAACTGGCTATATACTGTTTAGGGTGTTAAATTAGTGTTTCCCGTTTAGAAATTTCAGTTTCTCCAAAAGAGCAAAATCTATTAAAATCAAATTAGATATTGAATTAATTTTGATGAGCATTACATACTATAAAAAGAATGCTTTCTGAGAGCTTAATTTTTCTTGACAAATAAAAGTACCGTGTATCAGAAAAGAAGAAAAAATTACTTCAAAAATTAAACTTCACTTTTTCTTCTATTCTATGACTTTGCTTCCAGCCGATTACCTGAAAACTGAATCTGGATACTTTTTCCAGCTGAAGGTTTCAGTTAACAAATTTTCATGTTCAGTGTAAGGTCTAATTTTTCACTTGGAAGCTGATTTTAAGAATTTCCAATTCATCTTGCATGTTTAGCACAAAATTCTAATGTTGCAACATTCCTAGAGATACGTTGATGAACTACACACACACGAAAAAAATATAAAGTAAGGAGTCCAATTTCATCGTCATTTCAAAGAGTCAAAAATTTTCTAAATTTGTGAGAAATGAGCTCGACTGGGTGTTTTTGGTTAAAAATGAGCTGTTATTTCACATGAGACCACGACCAGCTTGCTGGCATCACTTGTTCTGAAGTTATAGTGTTACTCCTGGAGCTATTGGGAAAGTCTTTGCATTTTTGACTAATTTGGATGCCGCCAAAAAGTGCAACGAGTTTGTGTATAACATCACCCATTTAAAAAAATTTACCGGCTTTCTTTGGATCCACCTTTTCAATGCTATGATTTATAGTGCTAATGATAAAGAAAAAACCCTAGTACAGAAAAAGGAAAAAAATAACTTCTTTCTGACTTACTTTTAGGTCGAACGAAATGAACAGCTATCAACGGACTGAGATAACCTTCTGAGTTTTCATATGGGAAAAAGTAACCTGGAAAACCGTTGTTCGGAATATATTTGATTGCCCCAACATTTTCAACATCAGCAGGGTTTTCTCCTTCACACGATACCCAAATTGTATTTAACTGCAAAAAGGCAGGAAAAATTATACTTGACACAAGAAATAAAATAACAAAACCTTGTTGAAATTGTGTGATGTAAAATCGGACATATTCAGATAAAATTTTACAAATAGAATTTACACAAAAAAAGAAAAAAGAAAAGAAAATAAAATTAAGCTATCAGTTACAAAAAATATTCAATCATTCAAAAAAAACATCATGATCAATGCACTTCTTGATCTGAATAGTTAAGAATATCTGTGTTCTTTTGATTTAACTTATTTTAGGACTTAAGTTTGCAATACGGAAAATTTTTGGCTCATCTTATAAATTACGCATGTGCTGCTAGTTTCTTTGGGTAGAAGTTCTTTTTTATAAAATTAAGTCTATTTTATCAAAAAAATCAACGAGTTTACATTTTACTAAATTGATTTTAATTGCGGGACTCTTTCCCTCTAAAAAATTTCCGGGTGAAAAACAAGCGTCGAAATCAAATGACCTACGAACTTAACTTACAATATTTAATGATAGAACTGTTCAGAAAAATGTACTGAAACACTTATATGAGCACTTTTGTTTATTTAAAGTTGAGCTGGTGACACTTACATAATTTCGGGGCATAATACTCTCTCATTACCAAAACATGATTCGTCCTCTTTATATTTACATGGTTATGGATAGATTGCTTACCTCTTTGGCATTTGTAGTAAGTAACCTTGTAATGTGAGTTTTTAAATAATCAGGCATAAGTTTTGGGAGCTGGGATGAGTCATTGTAAAAGTCTGGTTTCCAACCATATACCTGAAAAAATAGTAAAAACAGAGAACAACTGAGATAAACAATTGAAACAATTTGCGGCTTAACAAAAACTGTTGCGAACTTTACTTAAACATGATTTCTTCTGGTTTAGAGCTAATCTTTTTGCAGCAAAAAAGAATAAGAAGGAAACAAATACATGAAAACAATTGAAGGCTAATGCGAGAACAATTTTTCTCGATTCCTTGCTGATTTAGGTCAGGTTCTCTTCCATATTTTTTTAAGGAAAGCCTGGTCGCCAGCAACTAGGAAGCACCGCCTACCGACGCAGGAAATTTGGAAAAGCGTGTTACAAACCACAATAACTGTATACTAAAGAGTGGATTTCAGACCTTTTTCGTGTGTCCATTCTGATTTATTTGTGCTTTATCTAACGTGAGTATATTCACTTGTCAGTATTTCTTACGCCCGACAGACCCATTTAATTAGCTGTCAAAAAATAACTACAGAGGCTTTTAAAAATGCTATTTGAGAAAATGTATTCAAAGCGAAACATTTTTTATACATGAAATCAAGACTCTACAGCTTTCTATGACTAAATAATGAGTATTCTTTAGATCAATTGATGCACTTCCACAACAATCATGATCAATCAAAATCAAATCTAGTTCCCACAAGAATCATGACGCTTAGAACTGGTTAAAATTTTAAATGACAAATACCTTATTTAATTTTAAGAAAACACAAGGCCCAGAACGGTGGTAGTAGAAATAGTTTTCTTCGGTGCAAGGGGCAAAAGCTTTGATATCTACATCGCAGACTTGGCCCCGGCCAGGTGGACGGTCATAATCACAAGCAAAGATATTTTGACCTCGGCCAGGAGTAAGACCAGGTCGTTTGTACACTGAAATAAAAAAAAACATATGACACTAAATATTAAAGGCTCAAAGGATTGGAGATGAATTGAATGAGAGAGCAATCTCATTTACGTCAATTTGAATCAGATGACACATAAAAGTGGGCTATATGAACTGATCTGTAAGATTCAACCGCAAATGTAAATTAGATAAGCTTGCTAAAGAGGATGTAAATCGACGGTGAATCCGTAGAGATACGTATTTCGGTTTGCGACATTACAAACTCTCCATCATGTTTTATTTTCTACTTGAAAAACTACTCAACTTATTTTCATTTCTTAAAAACTTTGGTGGCTTTTCTTCTCCGTGGGAGAAATATTCTAAAAATATATCAAGCAACAATATGGGTTTAGTCTCCATTGAAAAATAAAAGCGGAGATTTTAAAACAACCCAATCAAAAAAGGAGACGGCAAACCAGTCCAGTTATTTTGAAAAACATGGAAAATGAAAAATATTTTTCTCAAAAGAGACACATTAAAAAAAAGAAAAAAACCTTTTTGCAGTAGAATTCAACTAACAAAAAAATTAATAAATATAAGACAATGGTAAAATACTGACCATCAAGAAACTGTATTAAGCTGTCTGTCCAATACTTGAAGTTTTCTGGATCTGTGCCTTTGAACCAAATGAGTGAACTTTCAGCATTCGACTCGTTTGGCATTGGTCGAAAACCTAAACCTAAAAGAATAAAATAATTTGGTGTAACTATTAATTGAAATAACTGTAAATTAGAACAATAAAAAAACTTACTTAAAAATTAATTTACTTAAAAGATCTTCGTAAATTATTTTTGGACAAATATTTTCAACGATTAACGAAAATACACAGGACAATTTAGTGGTTTAATTAAAGATGCCTCATTCACCTTCTTTCTCTTTGTCAAATTGAATCTACAAATAGAATTTAAACAAATGAAAGAAACTCATGCTGGACAATAGTAGCTGCATGGAAGCTCATCTTCATTTTCAATTAGATGAGCGGATGTCTGATGGACTGGTAAAGACAAAGACATGCGTAAAAGTTTGCTTTAAAAATAAAAAATAAAAAGAGAGGAGAGGGAAGGGAAGGGGCAGAGAGTAAGAAAATGAAAAAAAAGTTGATCATACCTGGATTAGTTCCAATTATTGATTCTTCTAACTGGTAACGGGGTATTCTAGGATCTAATGTTAAGAAAAATAGCCATAGTAAAATACCAAACATAGCCGCTAAAACTGCATAGAATACTAGGTAGAATAGCCCAATTTTCGCTGCAACAAAACAAAAAAAAGGAAAAAATTAGACCAAACAGATGGTAAACATAAATATAAACTGGGTACAATCTATTAAAAGTACACCGAGATAATAATTTTAAAAAAGAAGAAAATATGATAATACCTATTGCCATGAAAATATTCAAAAATAATTTTGTAAAAAATTCCGGCGATTAGATTGTCATCAATAATCATGTTGTACCGGCCGTCGGGGGTGTAGCAAATGCACCCGCTGGCTCTATAATCAGGAGGTCCCGGGTTCGATTCAGACGACCTGAGTTTAATTTTGACGTCTAAAAAAAACAGTTCCCTGGTAAAAAGTGGCGATAGGAGCTGCGTTTCAAAATACCATAGGAATTCTTATAGCCGGCTAAAGAGGGCAATAGAAAATCATTTAGCTGGCTGTAGAAAGCGGAGCAAATCATATAGCCGGGCTATACGAAGCGATAAGAGAGTATGCAGCCGGGCTATAGTTCCTATCGCCGGGCTTTACACTTAATCGCCATCGGCTATAAGAGGCTATAGGAAATTGTGTAGAAATTCGTGTGCTTTGGAAATCATTAAGTTTGATACGGAACCACCATAATATTCACAAAACACACATTATATTTTCCTTTAATACATATTTTTTTTCATCAATTAAAATGAGAATAATCCATACAGGATGTGCAAACATTTCAAAATCATGAGTTGAAAAGCGCTGACTCCGCAAGATTATATTGGAGCCTAACACAGAGCGGAGCGGCGGGCAGCCAGCGCGAAAAGCGCCTTAGCGCCTGCAAACCTAACAGGGATACTTCACGCATGGCGCAATGCGTGAAGTATCCCTGTTAGGTTTGTAGGCGCTAAGGCGCTTTTCGCGCTGGCTGCCCGCCCGCCGCGCCGCAGCGTGCCACGGCGCTTGAAGCAAATATTTCACACCAGAGGTATTGCACAGTATCATACGAAATTGAAGGCGCTCCAACATATTAGGAATGGCAGGCATCCTTCAAAAGAACGGAGCTTTCCGCGCAAAATAAATCAAGATACTACGGCCCAAAGATAGAGCGGTAGTCCAAAAACTCACCAAGTCCCTAGAGTTAGCTAACTAAATATTTAGATTAATTATATTGATTATAAAAGATGTTGATAAAACAAATTATAAATAAGTAAAATTTTTAAAATTTAAAAAATCTTATCAAAATCTTATCCGTAATTAGTAACATTCAGCATACACTTTATCGCCTGGCTGTTGCTCAATCGCCATCGGCTATAAAAGGCCATAAGAAATTGTGCAGCCGGCTATAGAAGCTATTGAAAATCTTACAGCCGGCTATAGAAGCTATTGAAAATCTTACAGCCGGTTTTAGGTCTATGGTATTTTGGAACACAGATTCTACTGCCAATTTTTACCAGGGTTGCCTGGGGCTGATTGTACAAAGAGGACTGAGGGGGGATGGGGTTCTAACTGAAAAAGCCCAAGACCCTTGCATGGTACTCGAAAGGATAAAAAAAAAAGAATACCCTTACAATTTTGAAAATATTTTAAAAATATTACCGATTTACAAAGGTATCGCCTCATTCGAAGTCGTGTCTGACCTCGCTAACCGGAGTAAAGGAGTGTCCTTTTCTCTTCTGAAAGGGACTATTACGCGTCTTAGCCATTACGAAAGGAGGGGCGGAACTGCCTCTCGGGCTGGTGCTTGGTGCTCAGAGATGCAAAACTTCATAAAATGAAATTTCATGAAACGTCGTGAAATATTTTAAAACTTCTGCAATAAACTCACAATCAGTGTGCAATGAAGTGCAAAAAACGGTAGAATCTTAATTTTGAAATTTAAAAAAAAAAAAAAAAAAAAAAAAAAAAAAAAANAAAAAAAAAAAAAAAAAAAAAAAAAAAAAAAAAAAAAAAAAAAAAAAAAAAAAAACCCTGGGTATATTGAGACAAATTTCGGATTTTCTTAACGAATTCTCGGATAATCCTTAAGGTTTGCACGCGCAACCCCCGAGGAATCGTAGAAAATTCATGGAAAATGAGATTTCATTTTAGATCTCTGTGTTCGGTGTGACCGATTTGCCATCAGCGGCGAGGCGTGAATGATCGATTATCGACATTTCCCCATTTGAGGCTGTGGTAAAGAATCGATCACCAAGGTGTTCGTCGCGAACACCTTGGTGATTGGTTCATCGATCCTTATGAATAGGTTTAAATGGCAGATCCATCGATACATCGCAAAGCGCGCCACGCCACTATTTGCATTCGTCTTCCCTCCATTCCCGTACTCAGCCTCAACGGCGAGCCCTGTTTCCGGTGTCGCCTCAATCGTGCGTTCCCGTGACGTCCGCGTCCACTTTCATTCATCATCTCGACCACTGACTCAGCCCTGCCCTGATTACTGAGACTCGGGCCAACGCGGTCTGGAGCTCTCCGGATCGAGGGATTAAGATATTTGCACGGACATGACGTTGCCAGAGAGATCACGAGTACGTGATGTTCGAACGTTCAAGGGAAAAGCGACCTTTATTGCAAGGAGCAGTGGCATAGCTGCCACTGAAAAAAAAAACCTCGGTGTATTTACTAAGAAAAGGGTAAAATTACCAAGAATTCAGGGTTCTAGTTGATCTCAGTTTTTTTCTTGGTAAAATTAGCATTTATTGAATTGGTGAATCTCGGTGAAACTATCGACTTTCTCGGAAATTTTACGGGACCCCGGTAAAAACGCCAATATTTTTTATCGACTGTGGTAGAATTATCGAGATAAAATGGCAAAGTTGCCGGGAATTGATTACCAATAAAAGTGGTATTCTTACCTGAAAAAAAAACAGTAAAAATACCGGTTTTTAGGTAAGCTTACCCTGTCTTGGTAAAATTACCAATAATTGGTAAAAAAAAGTGAGATGGTAAAGTAACCAACGGCCGTTGGTAAAAACGCCGAGAATTTTTTTCAGTGTGAAGGCGGTCTGGACCGCCCCTCTTTCTCCATTTATGACCGAATCGAAACCCCCCCCCCCTTACAAAAAACGTCGTTTTTCGTGATTTTCAGGAATATTTGGAAAAAGTTTTGCAATTAGAAACTGCAATTTCGGGCTCAGTTTAGAAGCAACATACGCGCCATAAGTTTCGCTAAACACATGAGTGTTTTTTTACAAATGAGCTAGAATTTGAAGTTCCGAATTGCAAAATGTAGTCCAGTTCATTCTCAGACACCTCTCCTCCCCTCCTCCCCCATTTTCAATGTAAAGGCGTGGCTAGAAATTGGAAATTTCGCTGAGGCGCAAATTTCATCAGAAGAGAAATTGAATTTCTCAGTTCGAAAATGACCCATCTTGGAAAAATGAAATTTTTCAAGAGACGATAAAAACCGCGTCCCGGTTAGAAAGACAATTTTTCTGCGCCAAAAAAAAAAAAATAAAAATAAAAATAAAAAAAACGTAAGAAACCTCAGTTGTGTCGTTTTCGAACTGCGAGATTCAATTTTAATTCTCTTCGAGTTGAGTCGGGTCGAAAAATCGGAATTGAAGTTTCCCCTAGAATACGTGTACCTGTACGGGCCCTCGACGAGAGAACATAACTACATTTCCACTTGCTGATTATATTTCTACCAGGCAACTATTGGACATAAGTCTTTGCCAGTTACTAAAATTAGTGAACTTTTCATTTAAATCACTGATTTTTCTGCTTTTCATGCGAAAAAATTGGCTCAATTTTGAACAGAAACTGCACGGTCATATTCTTGTAAAAAATTGAAATGTTGTAACAGCAAAATTGAAACTGAGTTGAGTTTTTCCGTTTGAGAAACGACGATATCTCGAAGGGTGCATTGCGAGCGGTTTATTTAATTTCTGTGCTGATTGAAAGTGGAAAGCCTCGATGTATTCTGACAGTTTGCAGCCTTGAAAAAGAAAATGACGAGGGCTCAGAATCTATCCTTTTATCCAGTCATAAAAATGAAAATTTAGCGCGTACTTAAATTAAGCTCTTTGAAAGATTTGATACGTTTTCACTGAATTTGATGACTGCGCATTATTTTGCAAACGGGTACAGTCGCAAGTGGTAACGTCACCATAGAAATTCTCCGTGCTGTCGGATTGGATCCAAAGAGTGACATAACCTCTTCCAATGCCAGAAGTGAGGATCAAATTGATTTCTATGACGTGGCACAAATAACGTCTTCGTGTCAGTCGGTTGACATCATACCTATGATCTCACCTTACGGGAACATATTTCAAGCTTAGGGAGCAGACGTTTCGGCAACAATGTTGGGTCTGACTAGTCAGACAGCATACTTTAACATCAGTTTGATTTCGAAGTGAGCAGACTGATCGTCGGACAGACTTGGACAGACATTGGACTAATTCATTTTACAAACTAGAGCTGATCCATGAAAGGAAGCTGAGAAGGGGACACGGCGCACCGTGCCCCCCTGAGGAGATGCTGAAAGAGAACCGAGAGACCAATGGAGTGGCGTACTTTGCGATGTATCGATTGATCTGCTTAAACCTATGGATGGGATCGATAAACAGGGTGCTCGCAACGAACACCTCAATAATCGATTCTTTACCAGAGACTCAAAGGGGAGATATCGATAATTGATCATTCACACCTCACCACTGCCAGAGACCGTGTGTCAATTATGCTTGATCAATAATTTTTAGTTGTTGTATTTGAGAGAAGAGAGAATATTAAGTTTACAGAAATTTCCCCTTTTCCAGCAGTTAGAATGAATTTTTTTAATTTGTTATAATAATATTAAACGCATTAAGTAATCAGTTTAATTGAACGATAGCGATTTTTATTTGTTTTAAATGTTAAGTAAATTATTCCGGGTTTTTTTTTGTGAAAAACCTGAACAGGCCCTGAGTTTTTTTTTTTTTTTAAGTATTATTTTGACTTAAATTGTCGTTTTTTGTCAACAAACTTTGGTTTTCTCTTTAGTTAGATCCGCGCAGATTTAACTTAAAGCCCGTTTTTTTTTAGTTAAAGAAACGTTATTTTGTTATTGTTTTTCAAACTTAAA